ATGTATTCAATTTGTGAAAGCAGAATAACATATATTATATGTTTATTACTTCGAGCTCAAGAAATTAAATGTCAGCATTAAATGACCCATCAGAGTGTTGATGTGCCGTTAAACTAATCAATCAATGAAACTTTTGGTGCTTTTATCAAAACCTGAACAATATCTCACACATTTGGCTGTGACGCATGTGAGTGCTATACTCTTATCAAAGCGGATGTCATAATGTGTATATTGAGTTTCATATATTTGCATATTGAAATTGCTGGTGTGTGACTCTCACTCATTCAATAATAATAATAATTTTTATGATGCCAACGAATACTCGTTGTCACTTTCGTAATTCTCGTTGTAGTAGAGACTTTGTAATCGCAGATACAACTAGAGTAACGCCGTTGAACAATACTGGTGTCAAACGCCTTCGAATAACACTCACACTAATAGTACTTGCTCGATAATACTCGCTCGAATAGTAATCCGTATAGTGACCTGAATAGAGAAATAGTATAGTGAACAGAGTAGAGAATAGCGCTCCGTATAGTAATAGAGGAGAGACTAGATTATAGTGTTAATATTTATTGTACATAAGCCAAAAGGGGGAATGGAGAAAAGGATGGTCTTCTTCTGTCTTATTATTAAACACTGACCGAACCATGCAAATAATATTCCTTTCACCAAAACAACTCATTCTTACTTACCGTTTTTACCTCATCCACCATGATGCTTCAGAAACTCTATGAAGTCCTAACTAGTCCCCATATATACAATTCATTGTCTGTGGGGGAGGGGGAATAAAAATAACAATTTAAAAATCTAAAAGCCCCACTGAGTATTTACAATTGTGTACAGAACTATATACAAGAAACAAAATTTTGTTAGTAATAAAAAAAAAAACACAGCCCTAACTGTGGCAGTAACTTCACTTAACTGGACGAAATCAATGCGGGACTTTAAAAAAAAAATAAAACATCCATATATCCAATGCACTCATAAATAGAATATAGGGATCAATTAGACGTCACGTGACATCCTTTATAAATTTTTCTAAGATGAGCTTAGATTTTAACAAAGCCGGAAGTATTGAGCACCCAGTGAGGATCGAACTTGTTTTCAGTCGTAATTGTTCTAGCGAGACAAGCTTTTTAGCCATTACACCACTTCGAGGTGCCTTCGACATTCTACATATGTGGTATACTTAATTCAATAATGTGTTTGCTCACTGGCGATCTATGTTCAAACTCAAGTCTCGGCAGTGACACTTTATTCCTATATAACAGCAATAATACTAATAACAACAACAACACTTGTGTCCCATTTCTTCCGGAAATCCCCAAAATAGTTGTCGCAAGCAGAGCTGATATTCTGCGATGAGCTTTGTCCATTAAAGTTTTTGTTGTTGTTGTTGTTGTTGTTAAAAGCTGTCTTTTGTTTTATTAAGTGGAAGCAACACCAAAATAAAAAAAGCACATCCTTCACTTTCCCTAGGTAATAATCTTATGACTCGGCATGTAACTATAAAACAAATATAGACTGGTTCCCAAACTGCATGAATTTAAGCGTGCTACTAGGTTGGCATCTCGGTCTCACCCTTTCACTGTCGAAACGGTTAAATGTAACCGTCTCCTCTACTCCAAGAGCTTATTAATTCGCACTTCACGTCAGTGGAACTCCCTTCTTCTTACTTGCTTCCCTGATGACTATAATATTCAAATATTCAAATGTAATGTCAATCGACATCATCTGATGCCTTGAACTTGATCCCCGTCTTTCTCTATCCTTTCCTCAAAAAACCCCTCTTTACTCTTGCTCTCACTCTCTGTAACCCCTTGCGTGTTAGTGGCACTCCCGTCTTGCTTGAGGTAAAATGCTTAAGAAAAAAAGGTCAAAAATATTTTTAATAATAGGAATAACAATAATACAAAGATCATATCAGAACTAACTAGAACAAAAACTCTGTAATCTAGCAGTTCAACTGTGATGACCACATGCATACTAAATGACTTAACAACTGTAAAAAAAGACGACCAGAAAGCAGACAGCATTGTGCAAGCTGACCACAAGGGGAATTTTAAAGAAAACACAAACTGAAAGAAATACAAACATTTTTGTTCGTGACCTTTAGATCACGAATGTGAAGGACGTATTCTGAAGTGGTTGGTTCGCCTGTGACAATGTCAAAAATACAAGATTCGAGTTACAAGGTTTTAAAACTTTAAAAAGAAACATATAAACACTCGAAACTATAGCAAATCTAACATCTGCGCGGATACTTAGGAAGTATTTAGCGATCTGAAGAGATTTTCTGTTAAGAAATTTGCAACAATAACCAACAGAAAACTGTTGCAAAATATCATATAGTAATAAGAATACACGATACATGACTAATCGCTGATTTTCTGTTAATAAATTTGCAAAGATAACCACCAGAAAACCCCTGACTTTCTGTTATTCAATGTGCATTGATAACCAACAGAAAACTGTTGCGAACGTTCATGCAGCAATAATAATGCACGACACATGACCAATAGCTGATTTTCTGTTACCCAATTTGCAACGATAACAAACAGAAATCTGTTGCGAAAGTTCATGCAGTAATAATGCATGACAAATGACAAATTTCTGATTTTCTGTTACTCAATTTGCAACGATAACTAACAGATGACAGTTGCTAACGTTCATGTAGTAATAATAATGCACGGCACATGACCAATCCCTGATTTTCTGTTACCAAATTTGCAAAGATAACCAACAGAAAACTGTTGCGAACGTTCAGGACCTAATAATAATGCGACACATTACCAACCCTTGACTTTCTGTTATTCAATTTGCAACGATAACTAAGAGATAACTGTTGCGAACGTTCATGCAGTAATAATAATTCACGACACATGACCAATCCATGAATACTAATTTTCTTCGAAGAAACGAATTCAGACGAATGTGGTGAGAAGGTGGAAAATGTCACCCACTTCATTAGCGCTTGTGGAAAGCTTGTACGGAAGGAGTATAAGCAAGGTCATGATAAAGAGACCTTTCATCTGCATTGGTGCTTCTGTAGAACGTATCAACTTGCAGTCGACAGGAAATCGTACCGCCACAAGCCAGAGGTGATCGAACACAACCAAGTCAAGATCTAATAGGATATCAACAGCTAAACAGACGGCGTCCTTGAAATCACCAAACAAGACATCACTCTCCTTATTGATTCGTCTATTTCTGGTGACCTTGATGTCAAGGTCAATAAATGGTAGCTTTATGAAATACGTCATAGTGAAGTTACGTGAAATTAGGACGTTTAGTTTATTATCATCCCACTTGTCATTGGCACCTCGACGTGGGGTAATGGTTAGCAAGCTTTCGGCCTTCTGCCACATCTGAGCTACGCTTGGAAAATCACTATCATCCCATTTGTTATTGGAACGATGGGCTCAATATCATCGACTTGATTTCCAAATTATGAAAATTGGTTTGTTTTGTTTTGCGACATATCAACCACAATGGGTTATTTAATGCCCACAAAATTTCCTTTTTTTTTTTACAAAAATATATAGCTGGTAATTTTTCAGAAATGTATAGCTGGTAATATTTTCTTTTTTCAAATATTTATTGCTGATACTAATTTTTTAAAAGTATTTCTGGTATTAAAATCTATTTTTACACTTTCATAGTATTTTGAGTCAGGTTGTGGGTTCAACTATTTGCCCATAGCTGGGACCCTAACAGGTGCTACCACCCCGGGTCAGGGTAGACTTGGGAACACCGGCAATTACGAGGTTGTTCCACGCTCCTCAAAACATCCTGATCAGAGGCCTTGCTGTAGGAGAGTTTATCGTCTTACCCAGGACGCGGATGTAGCTTATCGGCATAGCCAAGACGCCAAGAAAATCGGAATAAAGCCTAGCACGCCATTGCTTCAGAAGTCTGCGTTGCCTAGCACCAAAAATATTCTCCGAATTGTGGTGTCTGAAGTCACAGGACTTGATGAAGACAGTCCATAATACAAAATCTCCGTTTGAAAATGAAATAATCGATAATTAAAATGCATAATAGTAATAATAATAATAATAATAATAATAATAATAATATGTGATTAAGAGTAAACCTAATACACACCTTAAAGAAAATCCTATGAAACACATCTCTGTGAGATAGAAAAGATTATGCTCCTGAGTACCGCTCAAACACTCACAATCTAACATGCTTGATAACTTTCTAAGAAGACTCCTCCTAAATCTTGAGGTAAAAATCGGCCTTGAGCAGACATTTTGACTTCAGTCATTTTCTCACTGACGTGACGTGGCTTCCCTCTGTCTTTTCTACGAATATTTTCATGGCAACTGCTCTGACGAGCTATTCTCTCTATTGCCCCGACTGCATGGATTTGAGCGTGCTACGGTGGAGTAATGAATAACGGCTCGGATTGAGAAATTAGAGCGCCGAGTTCGAATTCCAGTCAAATCCATTATATTCACTTACGTACTAATGCCCTTGAGAAAGGTATGAATCCTCTTCTCCCCTCCAGCAGGACAGACTGGGTTCTATGGCAACTGGTCTACCGCAGAAAGAGATGACTAGATTGGCATCCAGGTCCCACTGTTGAAATAGCTAAATGCAACCGCCACTTCTGCTTCAACAGTTTCTTTTCTCACACTTCTCGCCTGTGGAACCCCCTCTCGTTTACTTGTTTTCCTGATAATTACAATGTTTAAAAGTTTAAATGCAACGTCAATCGCCATCTTCTGTCTTATTGAATCCCGTTCAGCTTTTGTCCTTTCCTCAATCCACCTTATTCTCAGTCTCCTCCCCACCACTTTCATTTCCCTGTAGCCCCCCCCAACTGCGTACTAGCGGCATTCCGGCTTTGCTAGGGGTGAAATGATTAAAAAAAAACATCTGGTAAAGGATTGCCTCAAATAGAAAATCAGAAAATCTAGAAACAATAATAAGACTTTTGGAGTTAAGATTCAAACAAATTCCCCCTTCAGGCTAGAAAACAGGAAGCATTAGTAAAGAAGAAGAAGAAGAAGAAGAAGAAGAAGAAGAAGAAGAAGAAAGAAAGAAAGAAAGAAAGAAAGAAAGAAAGAACAAAAAAGTAGCAAAAGAAGAATAGAAAGAAGATGAAGAATAAAGAAGAAATAAAGAAAAAGAAGAGGAAGAAATAAAGAAAAGAGAAGAGAAGAGGAGGAGAAGAAAGAACAAAAAAGAACAAAAAAGAGGAGGAGGAGAAGAAAGAACAAAAAAGAAGAGAAAAGAAAAAGAAGAAGAAAAAAGAAGAGGACGAAAAACGAAAAAGAACAAAAAAGAAAGAAGAAAAAGAAGAAAGAAGAAGAAGAAAAAGTAGAAGAAAAACAAAAAACGACAAAAAAGAATGAAAAGAAGAATAAGAAGAAAAAGAAGAAAAAATAAGAGGGAGAAGAACGAAGAACAAAAAAGAAGAAAAAAGAAAGAGGAGAAGTAGAAGAATGATCAAAAAAAGAAGAAAAAAGAAAAAGAAGAAAAAAAGAAGAGGAAGAAAAGCCAAAAAGAAAAAAAGAAAAAGAAAGAAGAAAAAAAAGAAAAGGAAGAAAAACAAAAAAGAACAAAAAAGAACAAAGAAGAAGAAGAAGAAGAAGAAGAAGAAGAAGAAGAAGAAGGCAAAGAGTTGATTTTGCTGTTCCGGCAGAACACAAAGTAAATCTGAAATATGAAAAATAGATAAATATTTCAATGTTACCAAGAATTAAAATAATTAAGCAGCTGCCTTACGTAAGGGTTAGGATTTATTGCTTTGGTTTGTTTTACGGCTTATCAAAACCTCAATCGGTTATTTAAATCGACAAGAATTTTATTACTGGCAATTTTTTTTATTTTCAAAAATATATTGCTACTAATTTTTTTCTTCAAAATTTATTAGTGGTAATATTTTTTTCTTTAAAAATTTATTGCTGGTAATAAACTTTTACAAAAATGTATTGCTGGTATTAAAACCTATTTTTACACTTTCATAATGTTTTCATCGCAGTTTAGCTGTTAACTATTTGCCCATAGCTAATAGATGCTACCACCCCGGGTCAGGGTGGACCTAGGAACACTAACAAGTGGTTCCACGCTCCTCAAAACCTCCTGATCAGAAGTTTTACTGCCAGATGTAGTTTATCGTCTTACCCAGGAGGAGGTTAGGATTGTGCCACATATAGAAGACATATGTGATGATGAGAACGACCGTTTCCTGATAAGGAAACATTCGGTATTCATTAACCGACCAGTCAGCATGACTGTCGGTTGAAATTTATAAAATCTTTCTCTTAAAGCAGTTTTTCAAGAAAATAGAGTCCTCAAATCCACTGTTACCGCTTTTTCTAATACTCATGGGGCTTCCCTTTCTAACCTTTTGTTTAAGGTACTGTGGAAAGTTAACATCTTCATTATGGCATTATTTTCTCTTTCGAGTTAAATTTAGATGTTAATCAAGTCAAAAGTGCCAAGATAAAGAAAATTGGACACTGGAGAAAGAATAAAGATTGTCTAAACCCCGGTAGGGCAAAATTATACAAATTACTACTGCTACTACTACTACTACGACTAATACAGCTAATAATAATAATAATAATAATAATAATAATAATCCATTTTTAACCATTGATCTTAGAATGTGGTTGTTTTTGGTTTGTTAGGGGTTATGGCGCATCAACCCAGAGGGATTATATAATCACAAATCTTTTTATCCGCATATATTATGTGTATGATTGGAAGAAAAGATAGATTTTATTTTACTTTTAGCAACATAGACCTTGTGCCCTTGTAATTGAGCGAAACTTAAGTCGCACATCAAAATGTAAGTGCCTGTATATGTACTAATTAATATAGCATAATGAGAAGCCACGTATACTTTCTTAATATGTATATATAGAAAAAGTTGCAAATTAAAAAAATAATAATGTTTTTTTATGAAAGTATTCATTTATTTATATATATATTTGAATTTTAAGAAAGACTGAGGTCAATCTGAAGTATCAAATATATATAAATAAATAAATAAAGCAAATAAAAAACATTATTATTTTTTTAATTTGCAACTTTTTCTATATATACTAATTAATATATACTATATATATATATATATATATATATATATATATATATATATATATATATATATATATATATATATTTATGAAGAAATATAGTCTTATGGGATAGAGTGCTCAATATCAGAGATAGAGTTTTTGTAAATATATTTATATATATCATGTATCGCACTTAACTGACATATATATATAGTTATATTGTGTCTGAAAAAATGTTAGGTATTTTGGTTTGTATTTGCACAAACCAATGCTAAGTTTAAGAATACAAGGAAAAATAAGGGATAAAAAGAAAGAACTAAGAACATGAAATTGAGGCAATCATGCAGAATGGATAGCTCCAAAGAAAAAATTTCCAAACCGAGTAAAGAAAAAAAATGGCTGTGAAAAATTGCTCCTTTAAAAAGAGCAAATATAACTTTGAATTTAAAAAAGTTAAATGAGACATAAAAATTTTTTTTCATACACGGATCGTCAGGTCAATCTTGCTCTGCTTTGGCTTGATGTGGGTGAAACCTATTAGGTTTCAATTTTGTTTGGTATTTAGATCAAATTATATATTATATATATATATATATATATATATATATATATATATCTGAAGTCCGCTATCGACGTTCGTATATTATGTATATTCACTAATATATACTTAATTTAAAAAACCATTAACATTGACTACTGTATTTATAACAATTTGAGAAAAAATCATACGTGCTTACAAATATAAAAAAATATCACATTTTTATCATACCCATATCTATATGTGTGTGTGTGTGTGTGTGTGTTTGTCTGTTTGTCTTTCCATACTTTTTATAACTTGTGAGTGTGCTGGACAATCTCCTCATAGTTGAAGAAGAGACTTGAAGCAATAAAAATGTGTTTCTACAGAATGATACTGAGGATACAATGGACCAAAAGTTTGAGCAGCTACGAATTTTTAAAGAAAATGAAAACCATAAGAAATCTTAATATCAGGAAAAAACAGCTGACATTTCCAGGGACCATGATGAGGAAAAAAGGTGTGGAAAATCCGATACTCACAGGACAGATTGAAGACGAAAGGGACGGACGAAAACAAAGCATAACCTACCAAGAGAGCGAGATTAAATGGACGGTGGAACAAAATTTAGGAGGGATAACAAAAAGACAAAATTTCTTAAGAGCTACCAAGGATAGGAAGTTGTGGAGAGTCATAATCGCCGATGTCCTGAACGACACGGCTCATAAAGGAAGGGTAGGACAACTAGATATGAAACTGTGAAGTGTATTTGTGTTACTGAACGGGTTATTTACTGTAGCCTTAAGGCTAAGTATGTACGTGTTAACACCTCCAATCAATTAAGATCAGAAACCAGAGGAGCCAAGCCTTATATTGTATGAGGTTATTTATTATTATTACTATTATTATTAGTAGTAGTAGTAGTAGTGTAAGAAGCAGTAGAAGTAATAGTAGTAGTAGTAGTATTTGTAGTGGTTACACATGCGCATCGTCATAGTCACAGTTTTGATCAGTATTGTTTCAGAGAAATTTAGTCAAATAGGACAACTATAAAAGTTACGTTACTCTGCCTGATGTCAGCTGCGACATTGCTGGTGTTTAAACATCGATGGCTGCAACAATGTCAATCAGTGTTGGCGGTGGTGGCGGTAGTGGGATGGAGGGTGAGGGAGGAGGCACTGGTTGTCATAGATACAGCAGGTAAAAATGGATTTTAGTCGGGTTCTAAATAACACCTTCAAATTTTTGCCAGTGCTTATAATTTAACAGTCTATATGACACACAACGCAAGTGTACGTAAATTAGGGGAGGGTATATGTTTCCATGTGCGTGTGCGTGTGCGTGTGGGTGCGTGTGTGTGTGTAAGTGACAGAAAAAGAGAGATTGTGCGTGCGTACGTATCTGTTAGTACGTGTTGACTTTCTAACGTATCTATTATAAACGTTTAATTTTTTAGTGAATTTATTCTTGCATTTTTTGCTAAAAGGTCAAAATCTTTCTATCTATATATATATATATATATATATATATATATATATATATATATATATATATATATATATATATATATATATATGTGTATGTGTGGGTGTGTGTGTTTGTAGATATATATGTGTATGTGCGTGCATGTTTGTTGTGTATATATAAATATATAGTTTGTTTATATATATATATATATATATATATATATATATATATATATATATATATATATATATATATAAAAGAAAAACAGACTACAAGGTTCCATTAGTTATAATTTATTTCACCAGAGATTTTATTTTTCTCTGGATCTTGAGACTTCCCTTTCAAGCATAAAAAAATGAATTTAAAATTTACACTTTTGAAGGGCAGTATTAAGCTTATATAAGGTGACATAGTGGGTGGTGAGGAATAGTATGATAGACATGGTCGAATTTAGAGAGGGAAAGGAGAGTTTTAAAATTTATTTTTATTTTTGTTTTTATTACAATACTTAATATTGAGGAGGAGTTGGGTAAGGATCAAAAATTGACCTATTTAATCGGCCAACTCACCGGAAATGATATGAGAAAAAAAAAAAAAAAAAGAAAAGAGAAAAAAATAAGAAGTGGGAAAGTAAAGAGATAAGAAATAAGAGATGGACGTAGGGTTTTTAAAGGAAGGGGAGGGGTGGTATAGCTTGATGTTTGGGCAATTTAGATAAACACAGATCTTAACGTTTGATAGTAAGTTAAATATTTTAAAAAAAACTCCACAAATAAACTAGATTTTAATGCTTGATAGCAATTAAATTATTTAACTTCTCCACAAATAAATTAGGGATTTAATATAAATTGAATATTATATTAATAAACAAATATAAAAAAAATATAAAAATTTAATAATAGTAATATTTTAGTATTGAGAATGACAGTTAAGTTAAAATCTTTATTAGTTAGAGTCGAATTCATCAATTTAAGCTGAAGCTATATTTAGATGTGTAATATTTCTTAATTAAAGTTTAAGTTTCAAATCAAGATGAAGTAAGATTTTAAGGTAATAATAAAAGAATTTATTGTTTTTACATACACACACCACATATATATTTACGTAAATACACATACACATATATTCATATACAGGTACAATTACATATATAACCACATACACATGTATCGATACACATGGTATACACGCACATACATACACAAATATTTACATATACATATTTCCACACGCATCTATCTTTATACATATTTAAACATTTTTATAGATGTTAATAGTATAAAGGAAAAAAATTGGTAAAGTACCCCAAAAAATTAAATTTCGGCTTTAAATGACCCATTAAGAGTTTGTATGCCATTAAACAAACAATATATATATATATATATATATATATATATATATATATATATATATATATATATGTGTGTGTGTAAAAAGTGTATATAAATATATATATATGTATAATTATTTATATCTTATATGCGCGGTACTTATTAGTTGTCTGACGATCGCTAAAGCGTGAAACCTAGGGTCACAAACTCACATCTATCCAACCAATTATATATATATATATATATATATATATATATATATATATATATATATATTCCGATTTCGTTT